GTCTCAATATCAATGACTCAATATCTTTGTTCATATTAGGCCAATACAGTAAATCTTTTACTCACCTCTTGCACTTTCCTATGCCAAAATGTACTTCATGTGTAAGATTTGTCATCTCTGGATGCAACACTACTTTTGTTACTGCTGTAATCTGTCCATTTTTCTTCTGACACTGGAATATGTTTTTAAACGCCGTCCACATGCACTTCTACATCATGTTTTGTAGAAATTGGGCCAGCAATCTGCTGAGTGAATCAGCCATAACAAAATATTTTCCTGGTGCAAACTGTATTTCTGAAACTGTAACATTAGTCTTTGTGTTCATGGAGGTCCATCTCCTCGTGGTTTAGTTGAGATTGCGATCAATGGTTTGTGATGTCTCTTGCACCACAGGTCTTCCATAGATGTATTTATGAAATTTTTCACATCCAGTCAGTGCTCCCAGTGTCTCCTTCTCGATTTGTGCAAATCTTTTTAGCTCATGTCATTGTCCATGAAACATAGGCAATTGGAATCTATGCTGAGTTATGCTGTTGAAGCAAGACTGCTCCAAGTCCATCTTTCAATGTGTTGGTGGACACTGCACTGGAAGACCAGGATCATAAAATTTAAGTCTGGATCTTTTGTCAGGCTCTTTTTTTATCATTTCCCACTCAGCTTTGTGATTATGTTCCCACTTCCATTCGGTTTTATTCTCCAACAAGCTTCTCATTGCTTTTATTTTTGCTGAAAAGTAAACTTGCCCACATAATCTACTGAACTAAACCTCGAGCTCTTTGGAGGTTGACTTTTGTCATGTTAGAATCTACACGCTTGACCCACATGCAGAAGCTCAAACAGGAGATACAATTTGGTTCAAATGAATAAAGTTTATTGGTTCAAACATAAATGATGAATGGGAGTCTGTGGTGTGTCTCGGGGGCCACTGGGAGAAGGTCGTCTTTGCGCTGAATGTAGGGAGAGGTGAGGTAAGAGTAATAATGACGTGAACCAAACAGAGTTCAGGAACGAGCTTACTGGTGAAATAAGGAGCCTCCGCCAGGAAGGGGTAGCTGACGGGAGGAGGGGTCCTATCCGGGTCCGATCCGGGTCCGATCCAGGTCCGATGGTAGGTGGATTCGCAGGGGTGGTTGATGGATTTGTCATTGAGAGAGCGATCACGGCCAGTCTCGGATTGTAATCCAGAGGTTTCTTCAGCGGCGGTTCTTGAGTTTGGCTTCTCCACGGCTCCACAAGAGGTTTCCCGTTAGAGGTTAACACTCAAGCGCTGGAGAACCGGCCGCCCGCTCTTCTTGATTACGCACAGGTGTGCAAGAACCACCCTCCAACGACTGCCACCCCCTGGCTCCTCCTGGTGGAAAAAAAAAGGTTCCCCACAAAGCCTGGTTCCAGCACACAACAACTTTGTCCTTTGCTGGTGACATGTAAGTTATTGCTCTTACTTTTTCAGGGTCTAGCTAGATTCCAGCAGCTGACAGTTTGTTCCCCATCTAAGTAATTTCACTCACTCCAGACTGACATTTCTGTTTGTTTAACTTCAGTCCAGACTCTCGTGCTTTTTCCATCACTTTCTACAATCTTTCATTTTGCTCATTCCTTGTCGTTCCCCACACAACCACATCATACAGAAGCACTCCAACTCCTTCCATTCCACCAGTTTCACAGTTCTGTGAAAGACTTTGGGTGTGGGTGCAATACCAAAGGGCATGCAAAGAAAACAGCATCTGCCAAACGGTCTATTAAATGTACAGTTTTGCTCTTTCTTCATCCAGTTTACCATAATCTGGTAAAACCCGGAAGACACATTCAAATTTGAAAAGAATTTTGCTCCTGCCATTGCACTCGTTATGTCTGAATTGGTTGGGAGTTTGTAGTGCTCTCTCTCGAGCCTCTTATTTAGATCTTTTGGGTGAATGCAGTCTTAAATCTCCATTTTTTCTTGTGCTTAATAAGTGAATTGATCCAGTCTGTAGGTTCTTCAACTTTTTTTCACAATTTCTTTGTCTGTGAGTGATTTAAGTTCTTTTCTCAGTCTTTCAGTTGTACAGGTACCTTTCTTTCAGCATGGATAACTGGCATTTTCTTTCAGATGTATTTTATATTTGGTTGCACCGTTGACATCCTTGAACTCAGGCATGATCTCTGCTTTACACCATGCAGATTTTGTTTTTCTGTTAAATCTTAAGTTGTTCAAACTTTGGTTTAACATGATCAAAATGGGGGTGGGTTTAAAGATTGCAGTGATTTTTGTCTTCCTTCTTCTCTTTGTTGCCTCTAGATGTCACTAGGGACTATCAACGACATGAACTCTTGACAAGTGCAAGTCTTTCACTTGCTTTCAGTTCTGGAATAGCTCGTCTGTCTTCTTCAACCTGAACAAACAGTGTGCTGAATCCTTTTCCCAAAAGAGTTCTTGAAACTCTCCTTTGGTAGGGATTGGTTGGGTGGTGAAAGCTCTCAACCGTAGCTTCTGAGGTTTCACCATGGGCTTTTTACTGCTATTTCATTGACTTGTGCACCTGTATTTCCTGTCATTGGGACAGTAACTCCATTTATGTGCAAAGCTGCTACCCAATCATTCTCAACGTTCCTTGTGTTACAGTGTTACTGTTTCCACCCTGTATGTTTCTGACTTAAATTGTTCCAGCATGCACTCTTTCTTCATACAAAACCATTTAGCATAATGATTCTATTTTCTGCAATCTTTCCCAGATGTAGGGCATAATGTTTTGGAGCAAATTTTACAATCCACTCCTGGTACCATGTATTTATTTGACTCTCGCACTGAGTGCCATTTTTCTATATCCAATTTTTTTTAACACAGTCTGTATGACACAACATAAGATCTTAACACCTCCTTGTGGCCAGCTCTTAATCAGCACAGCAGGGACTGACTACTGTCAAGGGGGAGAACGGTATGGTGTAATTACTCATAGGAAAATGCTAATATGAGAGCACTGCCAGGTCAGAGGGGTAAAATATTTTCTGGGCCAAATGGGAAACTTGACAGGTATGTTTGTATTCTTTTGAGTGGTGCCAGTCTATTTTTTTGCTAGAAACAAACTTCTTGGTTCAATGAAATAAATTTTATTGCAAAATCTTCCAGTAGTATGAATAATTTAATGAATTAAATTTGGTGCAACAGAGAATTGACAAGGCCTGTCACAGTCACCAAGTCAAATTAAGATAATATTAATGAAATTTAAGACCTACATGTCCACAACTTTGTCCAACCAGCTGGCCAGACTTGGCATTTATCAATGATAGCTGCAAAAGTGCTAGCTGACTGCATAGGTAGGGTATGTTTGCAGGGAGTTAGCGGTAGCTTCAACTGCCTCAAGTCACAAAAAGTATGAGGGTGACTCAAACTTCTGCCTTACAAAAAATGCCACCAGAAAAAAAAAAAAAAAGAACATACAGATTAAATTGCTATGTCAACACAAAATTTAAGACCTGTGATTAAGACATTAAAGAACTATTTTAAATTTAAGACTTTTTAAAGGCTTAATTTTAGGTACATGGTTTTAAGACTTTTCAATGATGTGAAGACCCGTCAGTGGATTTATTTATTATCAATTTATGGATCCTACTGTTCCACTTTCCATTACTTGGTGTTGGATATATTACATAAAATCCCAATAAATACATTAAGGATTGTGGTTGAGCATGTGACAAAACTTAGGCATATTTAATACATATATATAAAAGTCACTTAACACTTAAGGACTAAATAAATCTTCATGGAAACAGATTTTTTATTCCGACTCAGGTCATTTTTATTTACATGTTATACATATACAAAAACAGCTCTTTTATTATAAGAACAAGACTGCAAAGCCAGAACAATAGCAAATTTAAAACAACCATAAACTCTTCCATAAAGAGTGCCCTTGCTGGATTTTCTCACTGCCAACTATGGAATATGATCCAGTTAAAACATTTAATACAGTCTAGAATTAGCTGAAACATCTGTGTACAAGTTCTCCAAAACATTGTTGAAATACGGTATCAAAGACGCGAAACACAACATCTGTGAGGAAGCAGGTTGAAACCAAGTAGTCTACTGCATAAAGAATATCCACCATAGTATGAGTGTATATACTGTACATTTATACATTAATATATATACTAACACTGCAGACAGTCACAAAAAGAAGACTACCAAGGTCCTCCCATACTTACAAAGACTAAAGTGGCCCATTCACATTTAACAAGAATATCCAAAGATGCCTTAAAATAGCAACTAGAATACAAAAAACATCACCAAAAAATAGATGTCATCATGTGGAGCTTTTACTGGATTTCCCTACTGTTAAATAGACCATATGGACTGGAGCATGTATACCACATCCAGTGTACACTGAGAAGGCATGTCCTTTATGTAATCAAGAGATTTTCAAAACATTGCACATAAAAAGAGATAATGTACAGAATAAAAGAGGGCATGCTGTCCATGTCAGAGCTACACTGGCTGAAGAGTCATAAGGCCTCACTACCAACTCGATACATGGTCTCTGTCAGTCACTTCACAGAACGATATGAACATGCAAACTTTCAAAAAACAAACGCTGAAGAGAACCAGTTGCTCAGCAACAAAGCCGTGCTCCTTGTTTCACAGATCAAACAAAATCAGGGGATTTCTGCTTGTGCAGCAGCACAACTTCAGTCACATTTGATTGACGCAAAAAAGAATCTTACCTTCTTTTTTGCTGATAGATAGATAGATAGATAGATAGATAGATAGATAGATAGATAGATAGATAGATAGATAGATAGATAGATAGATAGATAGATAGATAGATAGATAGATAGATAGATAGATAGATAGATAGATAGATAGATAGATAGATAGATAGATAGATAGATAGATAGATAGATAGATAGATAGATAGATAGATAGATAGATAGATAGATAGATAGATAGATAGATAGATAGATAGATAGATAGATAGATAGATAGATAGATAGATAGATAGATAGATATTCCAAAGACAAAGATCAAAACACCACCAGTCCATTTATTGCACACCATCGGTTCACAAAAATATTTTGGGCACTTTTGCGTTTCAACAAACAGCAGCATTTCATCATTTAAAACAACAATAAAAAAATGTTAGAATACAGACACAAAGCACAACAACTGAAAAGCAGGACAAGGAGGATAGAAAACAATTCTTTTTTTTAACATTGTGCAACTAGAGAAAATAGGTCCATTTACTAAGGCTGGCCTCTTAAATGCACAACATCATACAGTGTCTTAAGGGCCACAACAGCAGGACCCCTATGCTGAACAGCATGAACTACTTAGAATGATTATCTTTTTCTTCCACTATGTGCAACTGATTGCCACGGCAAATCCCCAATGAGACAGAGAACATTTGGTCCCGTATTTGAAAAAAATATTTCTACCCAGATATAAAGGGCAAATGGCACATTTAAAACAAGAAAGAAAAGTGACTGTGAGGATGGTACAAGCTACCACCAGTTTTGACTGGTTTCAGGACATGGCCATATAACAGCACTATTGAAGCCAACCTCTACAATCAACCCTGTATGTGAGCACCTATGTCTTACATTGAATGGACTAATCCCAAAACAAGAAGGAGAAATGGAGTCACTGTCAGTAGCATCTAATTCAGAGAATCACCATGGCGGTCATGAGCTCCTCCAAACACAGGCACCACGACCCACATGAGCAGGACAGCAACTCCAAAAAACACAAACACAATGCTGTTACAAAAATGATGGACTCAGTATTCACACCCATACATCAGCATGCACCAGCTGCTCCATAAATACAATAGATGCACCGGGTCAGAAACACAAAATTCCAACCCTCCACTGGTCACTGAACACATCAAACCCAAGAGCTATCAGGTTGCGCTAAAGACAAAGGAAGTAACTTCAAATGGAGTGACCTATCAAATAATTATTTCATTTATTTAAAAAGGAAATAAATATAACAATGCACTACACAGTTATATAAAATTTAAGTTACAATATGTAATATTGGCTACAGCACTATGCTTGATGAAATGCACAAATATCAGGATGCAAAAAGCATTAGAATGGCCCTTGATTGAAAATAAGAGACATTGCCCTCTTATGCTTTTTTATAAAATACCAGTTGTTTTATATATTAATCCATCCATTCCACCTTGTCCCTAGTGAGGTCGCGAGGGACCCTGGACAGGTCACCAGGGCAACACAGAAACAGATAAAACAAACAATCATCCTAATCCTAAATTGAATTTAGAAAGACCAATTAACCTGACTGTCATGTTTTTGGTCTGCGGGAGAAAGCCGGGGTACCTGGAGAGAACCCACCTTGCACAGGGAGAACATGCAAACTCCATCCAGAAAGACCAGGAATCAAACCCAGGACCTTCTTGCTGCAAGGCAGAAGTGCCACCAACTGCGCCACTGTGCAGCCCGATTTTATACACAATTAACTTTTATTTAACCAGATTGCACACAATTTTAATACAAGACATGCTTTAAAAAGCTAGCAACAGGAATGCTGAAAAGACGGTTAGTATTTAGAGGAACTCACTTCTTTCATCTGTCATAAATGTAACAAATGCTAGAACTTTTTAAACAGCCCTGGTTCATTATTTTATGACAAAGTGTTATAACTGTACATTTATTAATTAATATGCGGTGTTCCTAATATTATGTTGAATGTGTATAACTGTTTTTGTAATAAAAGCTATTTTTATCATGTGGACCTCAGAACCCTCATCAGCCACTGTTAGTTACAGCAACGGCTAATGAGGATCCTAATAAACAGACAGACAGACAAACTTCATTTGAATTCATTGGAGTCTCTGATTGGCTGCTTCAAGCAACAAATTAAGACCTTCTTCTATGATAATTATATGAGTGTGAGGTCAATTTCTTTGCTGGAAAGTGCAGAAATATCTTCAATACAATTAAATTGAGGTCCATAAAATTCATGCCCTATTCATTTACATTGGCATGTATTTACAGTTTTATCAAATTAATGACAGATTTAAATAATTATTTCATTAACAATTATTTATATCTTGTAATTTGGCACTCCTAACTATATGATATGAAACACACTAAATTCAGAAATCTTTGAAACCTTTTTACAGTTTCAGTCAATGTTGGGTCTGTTCTATTTTAACTATGCTGAATGCTCAAGTCAGTCTAATTAGTCATTTGAAAATGAATAATCACTTTGTTTTAAAATAAAACAGCTGAACAGTGACAGCTCTCTCTCACAGACATATCAGCTCTTCTAAGTAAAACACACACAAAAAAAACATGGCCGTTTACAGCAGGACCTGTAGTAAAACAAGATTCTGAATGCTGTTCTTACAAAAAACAAATAGGAAAAATCTGTTTGAGTGTTGAAATCTGACAAAAACTGCAAATCAAGTAAGAGAGACATGTATCTGCTCAGTGCTTCTCTATTGCTAAAGCAATGCCACCACAATATTTCTGTTTGGGACTTGCTTACAGTAAATCTGAAAAATGGTCCAGCTGCAATGACAAAAACAAATCCTACATGTTGCAGTTAGTTACCCACAAAAGCATCAGACAACAACAGGACATCTCTACCCTTCTCTTTTTCCATACTGTAAATAGATGACTCATATTGAAATATCTACTTGAACTTGGAGGCAATATTTGATTTCACAACACAGGTGTTCCTAATAATGTGTCTAAAACGAGGCTCTTGATCAATGTCATTTTATTCCTCCCAAAATTAATTTCTTACCCATGAATGAACATATTCTTACAAATGTAATCACTGTGTATTATTTTATCTTTGTATCTTGCTAGTTACCTGTTTTCAGTGATTTGGAGAAATTTGTGATCATCGAAATCTTCATATCTAACTTATAAACTAAGTTTATAATTTCTGAAGATTGGACCAGTTTCAGCTTATGAAAAATTAATTTTTGATCCTGATCCAATCCAAAAATAACACCCTCAAAACCACATTTACTTACAGTTGGACTATAAATAGATAACTTGTTACAACATCCCCAAAGCAGGAACCGACTGCTGCATGGTGAGTTCTCTGCTCACACAAAGTGGAGAGAAAAATCCATAAATGCAGAAATAAAAATGTCAAACTACACAGAGAACTTGCAACTGTAAAATTGAACTACTGAAAACATTGTTGTCTCTGCGTAAGTAAAGTAAAATAAACAAAAATAAACAAAATAAACAAAAAAAAAAACTGTCATATTTTACCTAAGTGGAACCATTACTCAAATGCATTATGCTAACATCATTAGCAATGTACTGACGGCTAATCAAGCAACTGCAAACAACAATGGCAAAAAAAGTGGCTGAGCTTCAGTTAGGGTAAAATAGCAAGTGATTACACATTCAGTGTGAACGTAGTGATACTTACCTGCAGTTGGAAATAGGCATGAGTGCACAAAGGTTAGCAAAAAGATGAACTAACATGTTCATCATGCTGCTCCTAACATTTTCAATGGATCAAAATGACACTGAATGAAGGTTACAAATAAAATATAGCTGTAATATTCCATGTTATGTTACTTTAAAAGTTGTAGGAGTTGTTGCCTTTTCTTCACGATAAAACCAATTTGATCAGATTCTAGGTCAGGGGTGGGCAATTCCAGGGTTCAAGGGCCAGTCTCCTCCAACTTCTTGATGTGTTTCTACTTCAACACACCTGAGTCAAATAATGAGGTCATTAGCAGAACTCTGGAGAACCTGACTGCATTTAGGAGGTGATTCAGTGATTTGATTTAGCTGTGTTGGACCAGGGAGACATCCAAGAGTTGCAGGACACCGGCCCCGAGGACCAGGAGTGCCCACCCCTGTCCTTGGCATTTGGTTCTAATTCTCAATGTGAATGTCAGGGGCTGTTTTATGTCATGACAATCCCATGCCTATTTATGAAGTAACCTTAAACCGTCCGTCTTTTGTTTGACCCTGGATTTAAAGGGCAAAAACACATATCCAAACTGATCTAGAAACAGAGAATTTTGCTTTTCAGTAGAACCAGAGTTGGATTTCACAACAGTGTTCACTGACAAGTCAAACTGTGGAACCAGTCAAAACAGTGTTGCCACTGCACAGATAGCTTTAGGAGACACTTTGTCAGTACAGTTCAAGTTTGAAACATTTAGAAAAGAAAATGCACTGTGTTCATACTGGTCATAGAAATGCACATACACACACATCATAGAACAACAGTCAACATACACAGCATTCATATAGAAGTACAGTACAAGCTATTGCAAGATAGATTAATATTGACATGTAATTTTTGCCAATAGCAACGGCACCAAATGAGTAACACAGTTTCTGCCCATACAAACTAGCATTACTATAACAAATGTAATACAAGGACCATTTTAGATCAGTTTGCAAAGACTTGATTTATCACTTCATTTCTTTTATGTGACTTTGCTAAAGTGTGAACTCTCAGGCACTTTCTAAAAGTAGAGCAAGGCTTGGAACGGACAGACCTCCAATTGGCTGACACTTCACTGACTTGAGACGGTGCTGCATTCAAGTCATATGGGAAAAAAAAAACAGTGTTGTTAAAACTGCTAAAATAATGCTGGCTTTCAGGGAGCAAGGAGGCTGTGAGTTCTGGATTCCCCAGCCAATGAACTAGTGTGAAATCTGAAGAAGTGCTGTGGTTTTTGCATGTAAAACGATGTCATCAAATCAACAGCATCTTTTGAAAACACTGTAGCGTTTCCATTGTTCCGTATAAGGGCTGCATTGTGGATCTCCGAGTTCTTTCAGTCTTCCAAACATTTAGACTTATATTCCCATATAACCTGAGTGCAAAATACATCAGGGGGCAGGAAGAAGACTTGGATCACTCTATGGTAATGGAAGCCACCTCCTTAGGCTGTTCCCCTCCAAACTCCTCTGGGGAACTGTCCCTGACACCGTCATTCATCTTGTTTTCTGTCATAACTGCCGTTTCATCGGCGTTCATCTTATTGGAGGTTGGGGCTTCCGGGGGATCCAGGGGCTCAGGTGTAAGTAAGCCAGAGGAACTTTCACAGTTCTGTGTGGAAGAGGAGACCTGGGAGATGACCGGCATTTGGACTGAGGAAGAGGATGAGGCAGTGGTGGTGGCGACATTGGAGGTGCTGCCCAGGTAAACTGGGTGATGTTGGGATTCCTCCAGCTCATATGGAACTCCCAGTGCCTCCTCCTCCTCCTGCACCTGGCTCAGGTAGTCGGGCACGAGGAAATCACTGAAAGGACCAAGAGAACATGTGACCTCGCTGTCTTCTCATTCTTACCTAGGCACAAAAAGTAGATGCAATTTGGAAAGTTCCACCAATAAAAGTAGAGGAGACCGTTAGTTTTAATGAAAATTAGTCTCTAATGCTGAGTTCACACAGCAAGATTTTCCCTCTTAGGACAATCTTAAGCATACCCCAATAATCAGGATGGCTCTTAAAATAACCCTAATCTGCGGTCTTAAAAGGATCCACAGCAAGTTCAACATTTTGGCCTAAACATTTAGTAATTTTCCTATTAACTGCAAAATAACTCCATTATATTTTTTATCCAAGGAAGTCACCACTTTTTCACATGCATGCTGGGTTGATAATGCGTTTTGGTTCATTCTGTACTTGAATCTACAGGCAGGCAAACACAGGCAGGCAAACTTTACCTGAGTTATTGGTTATCATTCAGTACCTTCTGCCACCAGTACTGAATGTGAAACCACAGACCTGACACTGGACTGAGGTGTCCGACCTGGTCCGGACACAGAGCTACAGATCCCACAGTCTGACCAGAGCTATGTCTCATTCATTGTTTCATTTATGAAGCTGAGGGCAACAGCAGCAAGCACCAGCTTCTTCAGCCAATTCTGTCCTCTTCCTCCATTTGGTCATCCTCATCTTCATCACCGCTTGTGATTTCTACATTGCCATTTCAACAAGCTCCAGTTCAATTTGAAAAGGCTTAAAGATGTTACTCATCACTGTTTACGTTGGACAGAGCTAGTGCAATCGAACCCATCATCAGCCTAATAGCATAATTTTCTGGACGTATCCAATTATGCTATCAGATCTTAGCATACAGTATTATTACTGTATTGTCTCCACATACAACATAAATATTTCTCAAATGAAGTTATTTGGACACCACAAGTTTTTTACCCTGTGTGCAGTCTGGTGGGGTGGCACAAACCACATGCATGTTTCACTAGGTTTTTTTTTGTTGTTGTCTGTTTCAGGAATCAACAGTCTGACAGAACATTCCTCTCCCCTTATTACCACCGTTTCTCCTGAGCATCACAGTAAGACCATGGATGTTAAGAGGTCTTCTTCCTGCCATGTGTGGAATGTTAACAGATCAGGTCCATTAAGGAATGCTTACGTTTAAAATAGGGATATTCAGCATGTTGGATTATCTTATCCCGATATTGCAGCATGTGGTGTTCCCTGACGACAAACCACCACGCAACTTGTTGAATGTGATATTTAGCCAGTCAGAAACAAAAATGTTGGAAACACAAGAGGAGAATCAAAAATACAACAAGGACTAAAAATCTGCCATGACTACTTGAAAGTCCGGTGTACGTTGCATACATCTTTGTATTGTTTTTTTTCTCTGTTAAATATAGTCCACAAGCTATCGCAAAAGTTGCTTCTTCCCAACTGACAGCTGAATGTGGGGGAGTGAAATCTGTTGAACCATATAAACTTATTAATTAACTTTCTTAAATGTTGCTGTGTGAACCAGACATAATCAGAGCACAGAGAATGTGTTCTGGTCGAACACACTGATTACACTGTTTGACAGTATGAGGGATGGATCATTTCAGGCTGGTAAATTTATTCCAAAAACATGACAATACATAACTTTATAATCAATAAAACATCAATATTATAAAGACCTGACTGATGTGGAGTATTTCTTGACAATTTGAAAGCTCACTTTTCATGTTGAACGGTATGTTCAGTTCAGAGATGACAAAAACCACAGCAATCACAATCAGTCAGATTTTTGGGTTAGCAAACACCACCTACAGGTTGTGGTTATTATAACAAGATTACTAATCCTTATCACCATTATACTTTACCCTGACAGGTTGATGGTGTCTATCTCTCCTATAAACTATATATATATAATATGTATATAAATTCCCTTCTCACCCACCGCGGGTGGTTCTTATCCTCTGAGCTCGGGTCCTCTACCAGAGCTTGAGGGTCCTGCAGTATCTTGGCTGTGCCAAGAACTGCAAATTTCTGGACTGAAATGTGCAGTCATATATATATATATATATATATATATATATATATATATATATATATATATATATATATATATATATATATATATATATATATGTATTATATATATATATAACATGGCTGCACAACATCACAGACATCCATGTTATTAAAAGACTGTTAATCTATTCGTGATTATTTGTTGCAGGAGTGATAATCAAATTAAAGGCATTTATCTAACTTTGCTAAAGTCTTGGAAATATAACTAATACACAATAGTATAGAGGTCAGGAAAGCATTCTAATTCACTTGACTTTTGCCAAGAATTTTTAGACAGGCTGGAAATTGGTGGGGCAGGAGAAAGCAACTTGTTTCCAGAAGCTGACTACTGGTTTCTACCTAAATGTTCAGCAAAAGCCAAAACGTAACAAAAGTCAATGAAATTTACTCTAAAATAGAAGTTAGGAAAAACTTGCCACAATGACTTTCGTTGCATATGCATTTTGTTGACCCTTCTGGGCCACCGTATGTTTCTGTTTTCACTAACAAGAAGCTGAAGACTAAAAAAGACATGAATAATGTGAAAGCCTGTGCTTGCTCAGTTTCAGTATAACAGCTGCTCTTTTCAGAAATTCCTGACATTGTTATCATGTTTGAAATCCCTTTTTCTAAAACACAGCAGCTGGAGGCTCATTGGAAAACATGAAATACTGTTTCACATATGGAATATGCCCATCTCATCTACCCGATGTTACGATTTTTTGTTAGTCCCATGGCACTGGGACATTTTCATCTAAATGCATCCATTTAAAGTTTACAAAACACCTACAGTATTTTTTCGTATTGTGGATCAGATTTAGGGTTAAATGGTATTGGAAATAGGTTTAGAAAAAGAATGCATTTGAAAAAATACAGACATTTTCAATGGATGACTTGAATAGCCAGATAAACATCTTGTGGACTATTAACTGACTTGACCTCTTTTTGTGAATCTTACATTTATGGTTTTTGATTTCGAGTTATTCTCATTGTTAGAGCTGTATGACACTAGCAAATATTGTGATGAAAATATCTGTTGCTAATATGCCTGTGTTCTTATTTCCATTGCTTTGTCATCTTTAGGCTTTTGAGCAACATCATTAAGGCCAAGTGTGATCCTCTGCTGCCATGAAACTGTTCACCCACCTAAACATTACATTAGCATGGAAGTTGCAAATTCACAACATTTGGAATCTATTAGCTAATAATTATTGCACTCTAAACAGTCCTTTGAGATGTGACTGATATGCCACTTGTGATATTGTGATATTGTTATTACAACTTTTTGGCGATATAATGTGCAGCCCTGATAAGATTTCATGAATTGTCTGTAAAACTGGTATCAGCATCACAGCATAATCTGATTCAATTGAATGTGAACTCAGTATTGGATCTCTAATTTAGTTCAAACAAGTCCAATCACCTGGTTTAAAATGCAAACCAATGAACCTGAAGTTTTACATGTATACCTGATCAGATGTTGGACATTAAAGCAAAATATCCAGATGAAATGGTTAAGTTCTGAATCCATCTGAATATGAGATTGTCTGAAAATCTGCATCTACAGTGCAATAAACACATTGCTTTTTTATGTGAAGTCGGAGAATGGGAATTAAGAGTCTGTCTGTGCAGCCAGACAATTTTCCACACTTAGGATCTCAGGCACAGACCTTCTACCATAAAACATTTGAGCAGTCAATGGCCCACATGAGTCCTGTCAACCTGTGAGGGCTTGAGTTGATTAAGAAGTGGAAAAGTCTGGGGGTGGAGGGTGACATGTCTGGCTTTTTAAAGAAATATTCTGACTATTATGTTTTCAAGACTTTGTTTCTATATAACAAAAACTGTCAGAGAACTGAGTGCAAACTGAATTTTTATTTTTAATAAGTAATCTCTGTGAAGACATAAAAATAAATAGCTTGACTTTTGGGAAAGATGAACCACTTCTATTTCTTGAAAGGCAACACAAGTGATGTAGAACCCACTTGTATTGCTAAATAAATATGGATTTAGTATATTTAAAATATCCAGCCCTTCAAATTGTTCACACAATTAGTAAATCCTAATAATAGTGAGAAACCTGCCAGCCTGTCTGATTCCAAAAGATTGAAAAATCAGCAGTTCAGATGCTGTATAGCTCATTATAGTAACCATTTAATTAGCCTAAGATACACTTTGGAGTTTATTTAAATTGTTTTGTTCAGGAAGGTTTTGGGTAGAAGTGCAAAGAAGTGAGATGTCTTAATCGGCAGGACCTGGTTTAACATTATTTTACATACTTTGGGAACAAACTGTACCAAGAAGTGAAACTGAGTCACACAGCGACCTACTCGTTTTCCCACTGCAGACGGAAATTGTGAGGTGATATACAGACCAGTCAATGGAAAACAACGTGTAATACGTCTTCAATGCAAATTCTTTTCATAAAACTTAAGCTCCACATTTACGTCGCTCTTCTGGGTTTTTAATCGTGACATGAATCATTAATTTTTAACAGAAGGCAGTATTAAGAACTGTTGTTTATGTGACCACTTTTAATTGACAGTTATCAGTTTGTTTTTGTCATGGCAGATCCAGGTCAAGCCAAGGTTTGATGTGCAAATGATTTCTTTTTTTTAATTGTAAACTTAACCTTAATAAACAACTAAATTCCAACTAAAAACATTTGAATTGTCCAGAACAGCTAAACTGATTTACAGATTATATTATCTGGCAATAATTTTTTTTCTTGTTGTTGTTTTGTGTTATAGATCAACTCAGAATGCCACATAACTGTAAGAGGAAAGTAAATTGGTTGTTTTTTAAAACTATTGAATAAAAATCTGAAAAGTGCGGTATGGTTTATATTCTGTGTGACATCAGAAAAACATGCAACTACAATATTATTACTGAATATTGCAGGGTATAGCCCAGTGTCTTATAAGCCTGGCGGCCTGCCATGCTTTACTAGCTTCCCGCCAGGCCAACCATTGCTTGTTTTCTAATCATAATATAAAATAGGAAGGAAGAAGCTCCTTTCTTTTTCTTGCAACAAATTCCTAGAATGCTAAGTTATCAGCTAATGCTAAGTTATTAGCATTCTAACTAATAAAGACAGATATAACTGTTAGAATTGCAGATTTAACTGGCAATACATGTAATTGCCAAGCAAAGCTTGAACGCATGGAACTTCATGTCAGAATCCAACTAAATATTGTTGGATTATTCATTATCGGTCATAACAGCAATACATACTTTGGATATAGATATTGGCTATATATCTATATCCAAAGTATAGATATAGACATCTATATCTATACTCCAAAGTATAGATATAGATATAGACATCTATATCTATACTTTGGATATATCTATATCCAAAGTATGCATATATAGATGCATATTGGTGTGTCTATGCTCTCTAATGTTCTCTAACAAAGCTTCACAGATCAGATGGATTTAAACTGAGGTTAAAAAGAGACAAATAAGGATTCTGTTTACTAAGCAGGTGACTTACAAATTGGATTTTAATGACAATATCAAAGCTAAGCTAATTGGACTAAGTATAAATTGATGCCACACACTGCAGATTTTAATTACAAGAAATAATACAACTAAACTGCAAATGTACATGAATTTTTTCTTCAATGTGCAATTATGTATGACATTACATAATCATTTGTTTAATTAGCCAACCTAAAAAGCCAGAAGATTTTTAGCCTAACCCTACCACACACAATCCCGAACAAATTACACAGAATTGTATGTAATATGACAAAATGGAAAAAAAATAATAAAAAAATCTGATACATTAAGTTTTTTCCTCTGTTTCACCATGCCTTTTAGTTTTTATAGGTTTTTGGACATTAACTGATTTCTTTATTCATATACATTCATCCACAGAAATTCTTAAAAGTTGGTCTCAATCAAAGATGTATGCATAATTGATCCTTAATATTCTTATGTTGGTTCTCAAAATCTTTATCAGCAGTTTAGCATTAAATTCTGAACCTTCAGGGAATGATCTACACTGTGGATCTTACCAGTTGTAGAAGAACGGTTTGTGCTTCTTATCAACACTGCATCATTTATGGGACACTTGGAAATACATTTAATGATCAATAATAATAATAATTACTCATTCTGCAATAAAAATTAATTCTTTTTCACAGTAACATCATCATTGCCATATCAGAAAAAACATTTTCATTAAATGCTATGCTATTCAAATATATTTCAGCCATCCCTGTTTGTGGCATAACTTTCAGATGTAAATAATATTCTGCCACCAATAAGTTATGAAAAGGTTTAACATCTAGAAATGGAAACCTAATTTAGAATGAGTCATTAAACCTTCACATGTTAAAGCAAACACTTCAAATCATTTATCATCTCAAAAACATAACCAAATGAGGACAACGATCCAATGAACTTCAGACATTAGCATATAAATTGGAGTTATTTTCTGAACCAGGGGAGATCTGAGTAAATGAGAGGGGCCAACGCCCCCAAACTCCTCACCTGCTCTGGAAGTAGTTTGCTAGCTCGGATGCCTCATGGTTCAGACTCCTCAGGTGTACAATTAAATTGCCAGAGTTGGTGAACATGGCGCCGCATGTTTTGCACTCATAAATCCGCGGCTTGCGGATTATGTGTCGGGAGACCCTCATGTGGTGCTTATATTCACCGAAGGACGTGAATGTGGCGCTACAAATCTGGCACCGGAAACAGCGTTTACCTTCGTGCTTCAGCCGATGCATCTTTAGGGAGTAGGCCCGTGTGAACTTTTTCCCACAGCGATCACACTGGAAAGGTTTAATGCCTGGAGGAACGGACAAAACAAGAAACACAACATTCAGTTTAAATTCCTTCCTCTTAAAAGGTTCTTCAGTCAACAATTTTCCCAGTTTTGTCTTTTCAAACTTAATTAAAGCTTCTTTTTTTTTTTAAGATCTTGGTGCAATTACATTTCTATTATCAAACATCAAACAAAATAAAAACATTGTGGATGGAAATGCTAATATATATATATATATATATATATATATATATATATATATATATATCGTGGGGAGTTCAAATTGACGTAGAGAGGTATTGGCACAGTCAGCTGGGTGATGTTTTGATGTTTGGTTTTTATTTTTCAAGCATCAAAAGGGTAGTCAAATATATTTCACTACCCTTTTTTTTTCTTTGCTGCATCACTGTCACTAACATATGACAAAACAATATGGAGATACTGTTGGCATTATTAGTCGCTAATGTCAGTTTTATTTATCTGACCGAAATTAATATGTCAAAAAATGATTTTCAGCTGATATCAATGTTAGTTTATACAGTATATCATATCATGCACCACTAGAAAATGTTTTTTTTAGAAAATAACTAAATTATAGTGTCAAAACTTTCAGTGTACTGAAGCTTCAGGACAATTTACAGTGTAGTAAAGAAATGTCTTGCCCATTTTCGGACTTAGTGTAAAAGGGAGCCACCACGGATGTTGGAATATGGTGATCAAGAGCATATGACAGGAATTTTTGTATTCCATTTCTAAAACTCCAAAGGAGCACAAAAGCATATCAAGATGTCAGTGAGGGATATTTACTTCACAAAATACCACCAAGGACAACTATATAGGCTTCTTACGTTTCCTTGGTGGAAGGGAACCAACAATTGACTTTCCAGACCCAATACCAGCAACTGCAACATCTGCGCAGGTATGTTTACATGGTTTTTCTCAGCGGCATAAAAACTTCAACACACAATACATGGCATTGCAGATTCAGTGGGGCTCTTCCTCATGTTTGATTTGTGATGACAGGGACAAATCAGAGAAACTCTGAAGTGATCTGGCACAGACTGATCATCAGCGGTTTAATTTTAGAGACATTATTCCATTTTCTGGTGTTGTATGGATGACTGCAAGGGCAATTTTATGGAGTTATTGTTCAGTGTGTCTGAACAGTTGATTTTTTGTGATCTTCTGCTTCAGACTATTAATAAAAAATATGTACAATATAATGCCCATCAATCGTTTTTTTGCCAAGCACAAATATGAAGACTTCGCATCCAGCAGTTTTCTATATGACAATGACGGGACATAGGAATGGTGTTACTGGAGTTGTCACCATGGTGCGACAGTCCAGCTAATCAATTCACCGCTTTTTCTGAATTGATAATGAATTCAAAAATAAGAATTATAAGCACTGATGAATTCATATTTTGACTCAGTTGTTCTAAACTTTCATTACTATCCTCAAAGTCAAAGCAAGCACAAACAAAAACATTTTGCTGCACAAACAAAGTGGTGTTGATTGACACTAATTTTTTTTTATTGGCAGAAGTTTGGGGGCGACCTCTGGAAACATTTATTAATATCTTTAAAATGATAGTAGCATAAACAAACATTTTTGCTGCACAGACAAGCTCAAACCTAGCACAAATATTTGACACCATTTTTTGTCTGATTTCAAGAAGGTAGGGGTCAGCTTCACTCAGGTGCTTTGATGCCCTTCAAGGCTGAGTTAGGAGCCTTCTGAAGAGCCTGACTTCATGTTAAAACAACATTGCTGCAATACTTTTGTTTGACTCTGTCCCACCTACCGGAGTGTATGAGCATATGCTGTTTCAGGTTTTGAATGCGTGTGAATCTGACTCCACAGGTTGGGCATTGAAAAGGCCGGTCTGGCCCATTGGTGCCAGGTCGAGCCGATGGGCTTATATAGAGGTGGTATGGATACTGGATACCTTCCAGCCTAAAACAGAAACAAAGAACACCAGAGACAATCTTGATTTGGTAGATACATGGAACATTCCCTATATGTACTGTACTGCCAAATTCTTGCAATTTGACATAGAAACAGTGGGCTGCTGGTGCATTGCCCTACCCCCAGGCTTAGGATATTTCCTGGGGAAACCATAAAATATTTAATTTGACAGTTCATGATTTTTGGAACATTGGTAACTATTGTGAAACTGATTGAATTCCTGCCATATCCCACATCTGTTTTTAGGTATAATTAATCTATTTCCAGTAAGACTGACGTATGGAGATTAATGTTAGTCTTCTTTACCAATTATTCAATTATTATTCAACAGTGTCCAAAATAAAAATTCCAAAGTAGTTTTGCTAATGCAGTGTGGGATGCCATCTCCTCAGGTGTGACGTCAAACCCAGCTTCAACTTCTGAGGTCAACAGCACAAAGCATTATTATGCTAATTACTTGACTAACAAAATATGCCAACATGTAATTTTATGCAGTTAAAAAAGTAAGCAGAGGGTAAAGCACTTAAAACCTTAAGGTGGATGTATATGTATATATACATGTGAGGTGTGTGGAAATATGTAATCCTTTCAAAAAAGCGGAGTCTGCAGTTCTAACTCTTCCTCAGTTCTGATAAGTTCACACCTTTACAAAATCCCTTGGATGACAATATGAGTCAGTCGTTTTATGTCTGACATTTGCAGATGATCCTCTTGAATGGAAGTCGGTTCTCATAAAATAAATCATGTCTCTTATGGATTTGACTAAAAATTAAAAAATGAAATCCCACTGTTAGATTGGGTGCATCACCTCAGGTCCAGATGAATTACCTAAACAGGGGTGCTCCAGACATGCTGTGATGAGCTTCATGTCTATAAGTTGTGTATGACTTATGACACGTTCATGGCAAGTTCTGACAAAGGTACCTCTCATCATCCTCTGTGTGTCCTCCAGTGTTAGAGGTGCTTTGCATGGAAGGCAGGCTTTCTGACACACCTTCATCCATTGATCCTGGGAGGAGAAAGAGAAGAGAGAGTGATTCATGGAGGCTAAACTACATAGAAATATCTTACACTTACAGAAATACTTAACCCTAACTTTCAAGTTATGTAATTTTATTATGACAAATTTCAATTAAATTTTATTTAGAGAATTTTAATGCAAGCCTATCAAATAAACTTTACATGATTCATACTCATCAGTATAATAAAGCCTATTTATTTTAATTGCATAATCCAATTTCAGTTACTATGATAATACAGAAAATTCTTCTAAATTTTGCTGGGACTGTTCCAAAAAATTGTGGAGGGTAGGAAACTGTAAACAGGATAACACCTAGTCTGATTATAACAGTCATGTCCAAATTTTTTTCCCCTGGGGCCAAAACTGGCAAATTATAATCTACTGACTGGTCATGAAATTAATTAAATTTAAAATGCAAAAATTAGTTGGGTTTTTTTGTATGTTTTACAAAAAATTCATTTTTATGAAATCTAAATATTATTAAAGATTCAAAACATAAAAAAGGATTTGGACCTACAAAGAAAAAGGCTTTTTGCTATTCTACACCTGTGGTCAAGGGCCAAAGAAAATTATTTTGAGAGCCACAAATGGCCCCTTGGCCACACTTTGCTCAAATAGAGGTATGCTTAGGATCTCGGTCAAGTTGTAACTTATGTATTCTAGGGTTAGTATTCTTATTATTACACCGTGCTTGACAGTTCAAACATGAACTGACTAATTTTAAAATGTAAAGCATAACGTTGATACCTACCGATGCTAGAGCTGCTTATCCGCCAAAGTGGAGCCTTTTTTTCTATCCTGCACATGCACACTAGTCTTCTCTGTGCTGAGGAGGGGCTGAGGAGGGAGGGCTGCGTGACGCAGCAGAGAGCAAGAGCGTAGGGCTTGTTCAAATTTTCAGGCCAAGTCCACAGTTTTAAAAAGTTATATTCAGCAGCTTTGAAAAGGAGCCGTTTTAACATAAATTCGGTTTTACTGCCCTTACATTCCAGATCTCAAATTGTTTTGTGACTAGACGTTTTAGCAATTTAAGAGATCTCTAATTATATTTTGATGAAACAAAATACCTATTCGAGATATCTCCAATTACATTCCGACTAGTCAAAATGACGTCAGATATACCATTGAGTTGTCTGGAGACTTCAATTCAAGATATCTACAATGAATTACTGACTATCTGAAATACTCATTTCAGAAATCTACAATTAAATTATGACTAGTCAAAAAGAAAATTCAAGATATCGCAACTGTAGTTTTGATTAGTCAGCTTAGAGGGAACATTGATTCCGGATAGTCAAAATGTAGTTTTGTCTAGTCAAAATGCATTTTTAGATATCTGGAATGTAATTACGGATAGTCAGATGACACCGAATTTATGTTAAAACGGCTTGCCATAAAGAGCCAAATTAAGCTCATTGTGACTGTAAAGAGCCACACAGTAATTTCATACCACATTGGTTGCTGAACTGGTCTCCCAAAAACAACAGCAGACTTTGCAGGTATGTCATTTTTGCAATGCTTTATTCTGGCCCCAAATAACTATTTTGTGGATTCAAAATGACAAAAAGCTTATTAAATTTAAAATCATTTTAAAAAAACATTATTTAAAAATAAAAAACAAAATCAAAATTTATGTTTAATTAGTAAAATAAATTTTGAATTTATTTTCTATGTTTAATTAGTAAAATAGAAAATAAATATTTTTGGGGGCCAGAATAAAGTAATACTGTAATTTGTTGTGAGTTCATGTTTTTGTTTTTTGAGCATGGTGACCCATTTTGTGCACCAGTAAAACAATATATACCTATGTCTTGAAATTGAAAAAAAAGAAGAATATATATATATATATATATATATATATATATATATATATATATATATATATATATATATATATATATACACACTACAGTTCAAAAGTTTGGGGTCACATTGAAATGTCACTAAAAGCACTGTACTTTTCAATGAAGATAACTTTAAACTAGTCCTAACTTTAAATAAATACACTCTATACATTGCTAATGTGGTAAATGACTATTCTAGCTAAAAATGTCTGGTTTTTGGTGCAATATCTACATAGGTGTATAGAGGCCCATTTCCAGCAACTATCACTCCACTATTCTAATGGTACAATGTGATTGCTCATTGGCTCAGAAGGCTAATTGATGATTAGAAAACCCTTGTGCAATCATGTTCACACATCTGAAAACAATTTAGCTCCTTACAGAAGCTACAAAACTGACCTTCCTTTGAGCAGATTGAGTTTCTGGAGCATCACATTTGTGGGGTCAATTAAATGCTCAAAATGGCCAGAAAAAGCGAACTTTCATCTGAAACTCGACAGTCTATTCTTGTTCTTAGAAATGAAGGCTATTCCATGCGAGACATTGCTAAGAAATTGAAGATTTCCTACAATGGTGTGTACTACTCCCTTCAGAGGACAGCACAAACAGGCTCTAACCAGAGTAGAAAAAGAAGTGGGAGGCCGCGTTGCACAACTAAGCAAGAAGATAAGCACATTAGAGTCTCTAGTTTGAGAAACAGACGCCTCACAGGTCCCCAACTGGCATCTTCATTAAATAGTACCTGCAAAACATCAGTGTCAACATCTACAGTGAAGAGGCGGCTGCGGGATTCTGGGCTCCAGGGCAGAGTGGCAAAGAAAAAGCCATATCTGAGACTGGCCAATAAAAGAAAAAGATTAAGATGGGCAAAAGAACACAGACATTGGACAGAGGAAGACTGGAAAAAAGTGTTGTGGACAGATGAATCCAAGTTTGAGGTGTTTGGATCACAAAGAACGTTTGTGAGACGCAGAACAAATGAAAAGATGCTGGAAGAATGCCTGACGCCATCTGTTAAGCATGGTGGAGGTAATGTGATGGTCTGGGGTAGCTTTGGTGCTGGTAAGGTGGGAGATTTGTACAGGGTAAAAGGGATTCTGAAAAGGAAGGCTATCACTCCAGTTTGCAACGCCATGCCATACCCAGTGGACAGCGCTTGATTGGAGCCAATTTCATCCTACAATAGGACAATGACCCTAAACACACCTCCAAATTGTGCAAGAACAACTTAGAGCAGAAGCAGGCAGCTGGTATTCTATCGGTAATGGAGTGGCCAGCACAGTCACCAGATCTGAACCCCATTAAGCTGTTGTGGGAGCAGCTTGACCGTATGGTACGCAAGAAGTGCCCATCCAACCAATCCATCTTGTGGGAGCTGCTTCTAGAAGTGTGGGGTGCAATTTCTCCTGATTACCCCAACAAATTAACAGCTAGAATACCAAAGGTCTGCAATGCTGTAATTGCTGCAAATGGAGGATTCTTTGACGAAAGCAAAGTTTGATGTAAAAAAAAAATCTTATTTCAAATACAAATCATTATTTCTAACCTTGTCAATGTGTTGACTCTATTTTCTATTCATTTCACAATGTATGGTGGTGAATAAGTGTGACTTTTCATGGAAAACACAAAATTGTTTGGGTGACCCCAAACTTTTGAACGGTAGTGTGTATATATATATATATATATATATATATATATATATATATATATATATATATATATATATATATCAACAATCATCAACAAGACTGGCTACGGATACCGACTCAAAAATGGGACCAACATCAGTCACCGTCTCTACATGGATGACATCAAGCTGTACGCCAAGAGTGAGCGAGACATCGACTCACTGATCCACACCACCAGGATCTACAGCACGGACATTGGGATGTCATTTGGACTAGAGAAGTCTGGTTGGCTGGTCACAAAGAGGGGAAAGGTGATCCGCACAGAAGGGGTCTCACTCCCAGAAGGAACAATAGTAGACATACAGGACAGCTACAAGTACCTAGGTATACCACAAGCAAATGGCAACCTCGATGAGGTCACAAGGAAAGGAGCCACAGCTAAATACCTCCAACGAATAAGGCAAGTCCTGAGAAGCCAGCTCAATGGCAAGAACAAAATCTGTGCGATAAACAGCTATGCCCTGCCAGTAATCATACACCCTGCTGGAATAATTAGCTGGCCAAAGGAGGACATAAAAAACACAGATATTAAGACTAGAAAGCTACTAACCATGCATGGAGGGTTCCATCCCAAATCCAGCACCCTGAGACTGTACACGAGCCGCAAGGAAGAAAGCAGAGGACTAGTGAGTGTGAGAACCACTGTCCAGGACGAAACAACTAAGATCCATAAATACATCAGGGACAAAGCCTGAACAGACAATGTGTTCAGTGAATGTCTCAGACAACAGGGAACGGAGGTTGAGGTGCCAGAGATACCATCATGGGAGGACAAGCCCCTACATGGGATGTACCACCAGCAAATAACCCAAGTGGCTGATATCAGCAAATCCTACCAATGGCTGGAAAAAGCTGGACTCAAGGACAGCACAGAGGCCCTCATCCTGGCCGCCCAGGAACAGGCCCTAAACACCAGAGCAATAGAGGCCCAGATCTACCACACCAGTCAAGACCCAAGGTGTAGGTTGTGCAAGGAGGACCCTGAGACAGTCCAGCACATCACAGCAGGGTGCAAGATACTGGCAGGGAAAGCATACATGGAACGACATAACCAAGTGGCAGGCATAGTGTACAGAAACATCTGTGCAGAATATGGACTGGAAACCCGAGATCAAAGTGGGAAACACCCCCAAAGGTGGTGGAGAACACCAGAGCTAAGATCCTGTGGGACTTCCAGATCCAGACAGAGAAAATGGTAATGGCGAACCAACCAGACATTGTCGTAGTGGATAAACAACAGAGGAAAGCCGTTGTGGTAGATGTAGCAATACCAAGTGATTGCAACATCAGGAAAAAGGAGCACGAGAAACTGGAGAAATACCAGGGCCTCAGGGAAGAACTGGAGAGGGCCTGGAAGGTGAGGACCACAGTGGTGCCTGTGGTCATCGGGGCCCTCGGGGCAGTAACCCCCAAACTGGAGCAGTGGCTACAACAGATCCCAGGAACAACATCAGACATCTCAGTCCAGAAATGTGCAGTCCTTGGCACAGCCAATTATATGCAGGACCCTAAAGCTCCCAGCCTCTAGGAGAACCCAGGCCACGGAGGTCAAGGTAAGAATTTTTTATAGGATATATATAAATCAGGATTATATATATATATATATATATATAATATATATATATATATATATATATATATTTAGCACTAAAGAAGGGTTCAGTGAATGAGCATATGAAACTGGTGTGTTCGGTACCTCAAAAGAGGTTAAGAACCATTAATTTAGTGGGACACCTGACAGTGTTTAATTGTTACCAGTGTCTTTATGTGCGGTTTGTACTCTGCTATATACTTGGACCAACTTCCAACTTGTGTCAGTGAAAACAAGACAATAATTAGTCTTGTGTAGTGTAGTAAAGTCATTCACAGACATACAGAAAACTTTTGAGCCCCCTGTCAAACTAGAGGATGTGGTAGTGCCTCACGCAGAACATTTTTGAAGCATGTACTAGGATAACTTACTCACATAATTTGTACCTATTTGATGTAGTGACCTCAACTATTTGCATATTTTACACTAAGACCCCAAGATCATCACTGACCCTCATTAAAAACTTTCTGGATTCACACCTGCTCAACATTGTTAAAGAGGCATTTAATACAAACATTAATAGTCAAGCATTAATATCTCTAAATATGACGGACTAAGTTAAACCTCAGTCAGAGGTTAAACATCTGTCTGACGCACCACAGTCACAGAGAAGTCTCTTTTCTTTCAGATCTTTCTCACTTTTGTGCTGTTTTTTTTCTGTTGTTGAAAAATTGCTTCATATCTCAAATACACAAAACTGCCACTCTGTGCATCACCACGATTGTGTTCATGTGATCTAAACCAGTTTGCTTTTCCCCTTTGCTGCATTTTCCCACTTCTGTCCCACCTCTGTGCCACAATCCTCCAAGCTTGGATCCGGCACAAAGTGCAACGGCGTGAAATACAGAGACCTGTTGAGAAAAGCTGCTACTGAGTAAGCAGATTTTATTCCTAAATGATTCAGCTTCCATCTGTCACCTAAAGTCTTTCCTCCAAGACTGAAAACTACTGCAGACTTGAAGTGCTACCTTAACTGAATTTCACATCCAGCGCTGAATGTTTCACAGCTTTCGTCAGTGCTTTCTTCAATGAGAGTGGGAAATTTCAGTATCAAAAATCCAGATCTGCAACTTGGCCCCACCTGGGCGATGATATCATCTGAAGATGATGACTGATTACTTTTTTTTTTTTTTTACCTTCAATGTGTTAACTCTGCTGTCCTCAAAAGTTTGGTAATACTACTTTAACTCATATTTGGGATTGTCTGTATGCAGACTGGATGTATGTATGCTCCAAGCTGAGCATACACACTCAAGTTGATTTGGGATGGGTGGTTTCGTTTGCTTGCTTTTGTAATTTTGTTTACATAAAGTTCTGAAAATCAATCAAATAAAATGTGGGGAAAAAGCAATTTGGAGTCCAACAACAACAGAGGAGGCATCACAACATGCCTCCTCTGTTGACCCTTTATCAACATTTTTACCAGTGTTGCTGATAAGACTAGTTATCAGCAACACTGATACGAGCTGTTTGCCCTCTCAGCTCCCCACTGAAAGAGCTGAGTGGGAGAGTAAGAGGGGAGTTTGTGAGGCTCTGTGAGGCAGAAGTGAGGAAGATTGGAAACTGCAGCTCATAAGGGAAGCTCCATTTTGAAGGTGGCGCTAGATCAACCCAGGTGTTTTACACAGGAGAATGGTTGCTAAGGAGACTAAAAGATTTCTCAAAAATGCATGACAGAATCAAAGCAGCACTTCAAGTATGTTTTTGATGATGGAATAACATAAAATGAAGGAAAGCGCATAACTACATAATACTGCCCTTTTAGAGGAGTTTCTATGTACTTGAAGCCCACCTATAGAAGAGGACTGTGGACTGATAAGAAGCTCTTCCTGGACCTGCTCACTCCCTGGCACCGTCTGCTGGTCGCTCATGGAGCTCTGAGAGGCGCTGACGGGTTGGGAAGATGCCTCCTGAACCTCCTCGTCACTGAGTCGCTCTACCTTCACCCTCACGTCCTCCTCCTCTGTAGCCACTGGCGATGACACCACCTTGGAGCTCTGGCACGTCAAGAAGTCACTGAGCCGGCGGGCAACCACGCCCTCCGAGGTCCCGGGGGTACCTGCCTCCAAACAGCGGGGGCTCTCCGGCAGCTTAGATTTGTCTGAGTGAAACCTCCGGTCAATGCCAAAGGGAAACGTCCAGGGAAAAGCCAGGGAAGACTCCACCGCCTGGGCCGGGCCATCTGAAAATGAGGGCGATGGGTTGGGGATTTGAGGGGAGGTGTTGACCATCTGTGCAGTGCATTTGAGTGGGCTCTCCGGCGATGCAATTGTCACAAAATTTTTTCGTTTTCGTCGGGATTCCCGGCAGATGGGAACATTCCTCTCCATCACGCTGCAGTCGGACGACACAGGGGACACACTGCCATCCAGCGGCGTCAGGGCACAGTGTGACGAAGCGCTCTCAGGCGCCACTTCACGCGCCTTGTCCACCGCTATGCTGCTGCTGTTGTTGTTTGTTGGGCTCCACAAGATGCTGGACTTCATGAACTCGGAACATGTGCTAGCTACGGCAAACATCTGCATGTAGCTGGCTGCTGCCAGGACGTCGATGATGTTCTCTGTGCTGATGGAAAGAGTGGAGGTGTAGGCATATTCCAGAAGCGGAGCAAAGCCACTAATCGTCACGTGATGGAGATCCAACACAAACTTTTCCTCGTCTTCTGGTCGGCCCACAAGCTTGGAACGGAAGAACTCACTGCAGCATGCCAAGACCACCTTGTGTGCTAGGAAGAGCTTGTCCTGAACCCGGATGGTAACATCACAGAGGTGACCCTCATTGCGCAAAGCATTCAGCTTATCAAGCATCTCCTGGCTGTGGGAAGTTGAGCTGTGGGTGAAGGTTTTCACCCCCATGATGGAGTCCTCCTTACTGTGTAAAGCAAATGTGTCCTGCAACCAAACAGCAAAAACATCATTTTAGAATGCAAAATGCAAGGAATCTCAGATTCATATTCATTTAAAACATATCCTGAAATCAAATGTATTTATAGAAAGGTTTCACCAACTAAAATTTCACACTTTTTAACCCCCAAACCTGCACCAGAACGTCCGATTGCCATTTTTCCATTGTATTTTCTGAGGCTGAGATTTAAGGGTTTAAGCTCTGCCGGTGTCCACAGCTTAAATTGGACACCGGCAGCGTCTATAAAAGCACGGTCCAAAGCTTTCCAAAGCTTTTATAGCGCTTTGGAATGTGAGTCAATGCTCTAGACATAGGGATATGAGCGCCATCTTGTGGACAAAACAATGACCTCACAGATAATTAGAATTTTTGAATTAAAGTTACTTAAAATAATTTAGTAATGGTACAAACTTGCTGCGTTATTGGATGTAATGACTGATCGCGCACCCGAAACTGTAAAAAGATGGAAAATGGACTTTCGTTTCACTGTTTTCCTGCCTTTAAACAACGCAAGGGGACTAAGCTACCGGAGCTAATGAAAAGGAGATGAATAGCCTGGGTATCAGCGGTGAGACATCCTGATATTACCTTCTCCAACATCCCGAGATACCTACAAATTTGCTCCAGACATGTCCATTCTGGTGAGTGTCTAAATTCACTTTGTTGGTGTGTCATATTGTTTTTGCTATGCTTTTGTCCAGGTTACTCACGCTCACTTATGTTGAGTTCAAGGGTCAACCTTGTTTATGTCAGACTTATATTTTTTATGTAGCATAGTCCGAGTTTCATCAGTGGACTACAAGGTTATTCCATTATTGTGAAGTAAATTATTTTACTAGTGTTATCAAATTGACAGCATAGAGCTTTGGAACTGACGTCACTATGTGTGACGTTTACATCTTGCGCTGTTGCTCGGCGCCATCTTTAGAGGCCACAGACCAAAAGAAATTTTCTTCCGGCGTTTTCATTGTGACTGCAGTGAAGTTGTTTTCAAGTTGGATATTGGATATCCGTGCTCCGTGGAGTAAGGGGCGTTTAGCTCCAGGTTGATCCGATTTATGAAAGCTAATTCTGGCCAGCTGTTCTCTACCGCTCCCTCCTCAAGCGCTTGGAGGTTCACATAGGGACCGTCAATTTCCAAACCAAACACTCCTGTAAATAAATGCATTGCCTTGTGACCAACTGGTACAAAAAAGTGGTAATTTATGCAAAAGTAACTGTAAATGTTCAGACCTCATCTGGTGGGCCGGTCCGTCAGTCTAACCTGATTAGACTGATGGACTTAAAATATTCAACATTTTAAGTAATTTTAATATTAAATGTTTTCTTCAACAGTTTCCAAATTGTGTGCCCATTAACTCAAAATCAGTGTGAAATTATTCTACTGTACTGTATAGATGAAGCATACTCATCTTTATTACATTTTGACCACTTTTTTATTTACATTTAAAAAATATTTTTTAAAAATGTTAATAAAATGTATTACTTCAGATGATCATCACATTTGATACCTGTAATGTTCAATTACATAAATTCTAGGACAGGATCTTTTTTACATGTTCACTTCTTACCTGAAATATGTTAAATACAACAAATATTTACTTAAAATGTGATTCATTTTATCACCTGTTAACAAGCAACTTGAAGTCATTGAATCAAACGTTTCATTTCATTAGAGGCCCGAAGCTGAATTAAACCCAGTATATTATTGTAATAACAATTTTACTTCTTTGGTCCACCATTTGAGTGTGTAATGTAATTTATCCCATTTTTAGCTTTAGAGAGACTGGTTCAATTGAACCCTGCAACCTTTTTATTCTGTGCGCGGTCTAGTCGCATGCATTTAATAGGATTTTTTTTTGTGTGTGTGTGTGGTTTCACTTTCCCGAAACTGACAGATATCCAACCTTGACATCTGCTGCGCTCTGTTTGGAATTCATTTGGAATGTGCTTCTGAACCAGACATGCTCCAAATGTCCAGTCCATAACTCTTCAACACATAGTCAGCAAATTGCATTAGTTCTATGTCCATGGATGATACCAGGGGTGTAAATTAAAAATTTTCTCCATCACCCAGAGTGGCTAGTAGAGAAAAAAATTTACAGCCCCCTCAAACATTTCACCAGCCACTGTTTCATTCTTTTGATTACAAACCTCACCAGTACAAGCAAATTATATAAAATATACAATTTATTCCCAACTCTATGAAAATCGATTTACTGACAATAATGCCCCTCTTCCTCCAGCTCTACAACAGCACCCTGGTTCGGCTGTATTTCAAAGTGGCCGCGTTTCCACCGGCCCGCCTCTTTAGCCGGGTGATGCCTCCAGGCAGTGGGGAGGTATAGCACCTTCCTACAGGGGCCCTTGCTGTGCTTCGTTACAATGCGTCCTAACACGAGTTATTTTTCTGATACAAAGGAAGAAGACGGCAGAGGTATTTTTTATAACCTGTGATTTTTCTGAGATTTCAAAAAAATGTGTGGCAGCTGAACTCCACCTTGCAGGGAGGAAAGCAGGTGGCTCAGCTAATGATTTTTGTATTAAACTACTATAAAACTAGTAATATAGTGTCAATGTGCATGCGCTAATTTTAGCCAGGGTGTTGCAAATAACGTAATAGTGTCAGAACTGTGTGTTGGTGCCGCATATTCATAATATATTCCAATGTGTTTTCAGATGTTACACTGCAGACCATCAGTGTGGTTCTTCCTGGACAGGATCTAATGAAAAAATCCTACAAGACATCCTCTGACTTGTAGGATGTCTCATCAGTGTCCATCTTCCTGACTGCCAGACGGTGTTTTACCTTCAGTTCGTCCAGAGACCTTCACCTTCATGGAGCAGAAATCACATGACCCCAATGTGCTGATGAAACATTTCTCATTTTAAAAAATGTGGCTGATGTTCTTACAGAGTTGAAGTGCATTAACAATCTGTTGTTTTGAACTTCTCAATATGTTTATGATTCATCTGATGTTCAAGTTACACTGAGAAGAACTAAAACTGCATTCCTTCAAATCCGACTGGTTCTACTTTTAAGCAAACCTTCATGAAAGAATTGACCAGGGTCTTAAAAGTTTAAACTTAGTCTTATGTATTACTAATTAAGATTTTTTTTCTCACTTTCTCACATTGAAGATTCTCCAGGAAGTCAGCAAATCCGTGAGTGGATAGAATGATGTTGTAAAAAGTAGAAATGAACAACATGACTTCTATGTTGGGTTTTTGTTAATATCAAGCCTGATAATAATGTCAAAATGTTTGGTTTGCTGAATAATGTATTCACTTTTGGATGCCTTCATTGGTAATCCATAATAAGTGTCAATGAAATATTTATATATTATTTTCACTCTGTGTAAAGCTCCTCACATTTTGAGAGGATCGTATTAGGACCTTAATGCCATACAAGCTACAGTATGTACAATAATGTGTGGAGTGAGTATAAAAAAGGAAATTTTGTTCATTGAGAGAAAATATAATTTTTTTTCATTAGAAAAAAAATGAAAACATTTTTTTGGGGGGGCGGGAAAGAGCAGCTTCCTTCGGAGGGAGCTGCTCTTATCGTTCACCATCATGTTTCTCTTCTTCTGTTCCCAGGGAGAAGTAATCAGATGTTACAGCTTATAGTAGATAAATTACACAGTTACTGGTGTGGCAGTAACATAAACAGAAAGAATTATTTAAAATAGACATGTTACTTTATATACCAACACTTTTTTTTACCATCCAGACATACAGAATTATAAATAACTGGAATAGTTGTATAAATTAAATACAAAACATAATTACTTGTAAGTTTTAAACCTATGCAGACATGGATAAAATACCACAATTGTTCTCTTCAGGTTTATTGTTCATTTTTATGTCCTCTTCAATTAATAGTTCATAACCATTTAATTAGAGAACTGATATGTAGCCATTTTCCAATATGTCATATAACACGTTTTATTATCTCACAATGGGGAAACTCCAGAGCAACAACAGCAAAATGAGAAACAATCAAAGCACATAGATTCATGCAAAGACAGAATATGAACAAATGAAGGCAACATGCTGTACAATATTAACATTATTTATAACTAAGGAATGTGCAACTGTCTTCAAAAATGTGCATGTTGTGTTTGAGCAATAAAAACACAGCAGACTTTTTGTTTCAAATGTCTTCTATAACTGTATGTAGGCAACCTTAAATGTAGTAAAAGCAGACAGATATGTCTACAAACTGCTCACCTGGCTGGAGAGCAGGAGCGGCATTAGCTGAGTCGGTGGGGCTCCAAGTGGCTAACAAGGCTTTCCATTCTCTCCGCAACGTTGACAAAAACGACACATTCCTCACTGCTCCATTGAGCTGCAGCTGAATATTGAAATCCGACGCAAAGAAAAGCCGGCATCTTCACCGCTTGTTTGTATCTTTTGTCACTTTCGTGTTGTAGCGAGTTTGAAACATTGTGCCTTAGTTTTCCTTCGGTCTTTGCTGCTCTGTCTGACCACGCTTACGGCCAAGCAGTGAACAACAACAAAGTTTGCGTCACTGACGAAATCGGCCCTGCTCCGAAGCAGATCCCTAAAAAGCAGGGCCAGTTCCTGAAAAAAGCCGGTGGAAAGGCTCGGAAAGCGAGCCGAGCGGATGGAAAAGGGGCACGTGTTTACACTACATATGTACATATACAGACTAATTTTTACATGAAGCGTGGATGCCTTTACAGAGGGGTAGTACAATAAGTTCACTTGAAGTAATTACTAATAACAAACTTTAACTACACATCCTAACATTCTTGCCATCATTTCCGATGTTGAACATTTCCAAGTTTTGGCTACGTCATCAAATAGTATTTATTTAAGATGCGTCCAGTCATTTTTTTAAAACATTTTAAATTGTATTAATAGCTGTTTCCTAACTGTTCTATTTATTTTTCCTCAGTTATTTCTTTAATATTGAAATTCACAATTATTTTTGTTATTACTAAAAACATCTCAAAACTTA